CAGTGGACGGAGAACATAGCTGTTGAGGCTAGGAGAAACTGATAGTCTTTGTATAAAACCCTTTTAAAATCATTCAAGGGTCCCTCACAACTACGTAATGCTATGATTCTGCATTTAAGTAGCTGACAATCACTGTCTCTTGTGACAATGGATTCTGTGGTTTGCCTTTGAAGGAGTACTAGCATTTGTCTGTTCTACACCATGTAGCTTGCAGCTTCATTGCATGTCCCCACACATTTTTACTATTAGGTGACAGAGAGAGACAAACGTCAACCTATCCACTTTCTAACTTTCTCTGTTGTTGTTTTTCCCAGGCTTGAGTTCAGTTCACCACAATTTTGCAGCTGGCATTAAAAAAAAAAAAACCACATGAAAATTCAAAGTTGTTTACCTGCATATTCCTCCTAATTTCTGCAAGCAACATTCCCTAATATAATACATTCGCATATGCTGTTTTCATTAATATGTGCATTTCTATGCACATTTCCCCCAATATACATTTTTTTTATTCACATTTTCTTTTGATGGGGTGTGGTGTGGAAAGCCACATTACAGAATTGGAAGGAGCCACTGAGGATCATCTAGTTTAGCGGTTCTCAACCTGTGGGTCCCCAGATGTTGTTGGACTACAGCTCCCATCATCCCTGAACTCTGGCCTTGCTAGCTAGGGGTGATGGGAGTTGTAGTTCAACAACATCTGGGAACCCACAGGTTGAGAAAGGCTGATCTAGTCCAACCCCCTCTTCTGCACTGCAGGAATATGCAGCTGTCACATATAGAGATCAAACCTGCAACCAGGGTGCTATCAGCACCAGACTCTAACCAATTGAGCTAACCAGTTGCTTTCTGTGTCAATTGTTCAAACATTGACAACATACCCAAATATTTAGACACTTGAGTGTTCACAGATGGGAAATCCTAATTAGGCTTGGGCTCCCTGACATATGTATATTGATGTTTAAATACACCTACATTTAAAATGTCCTCTTCTGAAAACCCTAAACAAAACCATAGGTGTAATCTGGTAGCCACTGAGTCCATCAATTAAATTCACTATGTCATTTAGAAGCACTCTCTCTTATACACAATAGCTTTTAAGAGACGAAATTCAGGAAGTGCACGGTTAGTTGGATTGTCAGGTATTATATGTTAACTCTTCTTAGGGGATTTCTAATCTGATTTTTCATATTTCTTTTCAATCTACTGTTGCCAGCTTCAAACCTCTGGCTATCTTATAATTAAGCAATCATGTAAGGACATATAGAATACATGGACAAATTCATTTGCAGCACACAAAAACTAATTCTAATCTATTGGGCAAATATTTGCTTTCCCATATGTGGAAATCCAAACACAAAGAAGATAATACACACATGCAACGTAAACAACAATAACAACAACAGATGTGGACAAAAGTTCAGAATGTGAGATCCCATGGGTTACCACTAATGTGTGACATTTTATTAAATAATTGTTCCTCATTATCCTTTAAAATGCTTTGTGTCAGTGCCACACTATGGCTGCATACCTGAAGAAAGTTGTCTCTGAGTGAGCATTACTAAACTCATTGAGATAGACTTCTAAGTAGTTATCTGTAAGGTTGCACTTTATATGTCAATTGAAACCACTGGGTCAAGTTATTCATTACTTAAAATAAATATCAATAGGTATTAACTGCAACTAACTTCAGTTAAGCTGTTGGCTCCGAATGAGTTCTCATTCATTTACATGCAGATGAAAATTCATAGTATGTTAGAGGTCAGTAGAGAGTCATTCTATATTTGACTATATCACAACTGGTGCCATACCTTTATTGATTGCATTTCTTCAATACAAACTAATGATGTGTCCCACTAAATTTTGTTCTCCCATCCATAACACATTCATTTCCTTACCTGTGAGATGAGCCTTCTCCCTGTTGGTAGCATTCAGTGTGGGTTGCTTGTGGATTTCACGGTTTCCTTTCATATATAGGCAATAATGCCTTTGGGGATTTCTACCCCAACTGCTTTTCCACCAAGGCAAGACTGCCAGAGGTTTTTCAAAGAGCTTTAGCTAGTTAATTGCATCTTAACTAAATCATACAGAAAGGTCATGTATGTTTCAAAAAATAAATAAATCTTGAATTCTATAGCTACAATTGTACCTAATGTTGCATTACTTTGTAAGGAATACTTAATGTTTATGTTCATTGTATGTTCCTCTATAAGATTATAAACACACACGCACACAAAAATGCATTTACAAAGAGAAAAGAAACAGTACATTTCCTTGAGAGAACCTCCTTGAGAGCCAGTGTGGTGTAGTGGTTAAGAGCGGTAGTCTCATGATCTGGGGAACCAGGTTCGCGTCTCCGCTCCTCCACATGCAGCTGCTGGGTGACCTTGGGCCAGTCACACTTCTCTGAAGTCTCTCAGCCCCACTCACCTCACTGAGTGTTTGTTGTGGGGGAGGAAGGGAAAGGAGATTGTTAGCCGCTTTGAGACTCCTTAAAGGGAGTGAAAGGCGGGATAACATATCCAAACTCTTTTTCTTCTTCTCTGTGTTAGCAAGAGTAGCTGTCTTTTCATAAATCAAGAACAATGCTGACCTTAATAAAAAATATGGGAATACCTTGAAGGACAAGCCTCTGGGGCAATTGACAAAGGATTGGGAGGCTCCACAAATGTAACATTCATGTCTAGGGAGGCAGGGATTCCTTGAGGTGGTCCTTCCACTCCAAGTTTGACTCTGCTCAAGTGTCAGCCCCTTGCCCCAAACATGGGGCTGAGAATGCTTCAGTCAAAGCCTACCTACATCTGGAATGAACAAAGTTGTGGCCAATTTCTAAATCCCATAATGTTGTCCTGTGCAGTTTTTATACCCATCTTACGCTAGGCCTTTCCCTCCTGCAGGTAGAGGTCACTGCAATAGGGTGCCAGAAGGATGAAATTGGATAGAGCAGTTTCATTACTGACATTCATTTTATTAGCTTCACAAAATGTTTTTTTATCTACGGACAGAGGGAGGAAATGTATTGGCTGATGTATTTGTCTGTTGGAGAAACTTACATGAGAAAGGAAGAAGTATTTTAATTTTACTCTTGCATTGTAGTTTTGACCTGTTTCTGTAAAACACACACACACAAAACTATATATTAATGTTGCAACCTGTCAGGAGTCTGGGTGGATGGCCTACAGGGTCCTTCCTAATTCTGGATTACAAATTATTAGTACAGTGGTACCTTTCATTGGGAACGGGATCCGTTCCAGAGACCCGTTTGCAGCATGAAAAGAGTGCAACCCTCAGCGGCACATCTGCGCACGTGCGGGTTGCGATTTGCTGATTTTGTGCATGCGCGTGACGTCATTTTGCACTTCTGCGCATGCGCGAGTGGCAAAACCCAGAAGTAACCCTTTCCAGTACTTCCAGGTTGCCGTAGGACATAACCTGAAAGAACGTAACATTAAGCAAACGTAACATGAGGTATGACTGTATTACTAAACAGTTTCCACTTACTATTTCATTTATCTGTAAATATATAATAATGTAAGCTTCGGGGTGAGGGGAGTTGTACTACATGGCCTCTAGGGTGCTTTTCAACACTTGATCCCATGAGCACACAGGCTAAGCATAGGTAGCAATATGACTTCAAGATTCTGACAGCCAAGCTCACGACTCCTACATCAGATCTCCAGGGAGACAGCAAGCACCCTGAGGTCTTCGTAGTCTTCAGACGCAAAAGCTCCAAGATGCTCTGACTCAAACTGCTGTCACCCCACAAATCATTCTTTTCACCTGAATTAATTTCATAAACCTTAGAGTGGCATTGGGTTGATATCTATGCATCTCTGGAGGTCCTTTGCCATGAAGGTTAGGGTTAGTTCTGTGCTGATCAAATGATTTTTTAAAAAATATATCATTCTGGATATCATTGAAACAGCTGATACAAGATGTATCCCCTTAGGACAGCAGGGTAGCATCTCTAAACATCTCTCTCTACGTGTGAATCAGAGAAAAGTGTGAGAAGCAAAGATGGGCATGGGCTACATTTATTGTAAGTAAGTAAGTAAGTAAGTAAGTAAGTAAACATTTGCGTCATATAAAATATATAAATAAATATACAATTGATATATCTGTAGCAACCCCATTAAGCAAATGATGCTCTTTGTCTTTTGTGATGTTACTCTCTTCACAACAAAATTGCTTGTGGATCATTTCATGGTTTGGGTTCAAGGTCTGGTGCAAAGAGAAAAGTGAGAGAGTGAAAGGTTCCATTTGTCCCCCAGAGTTGGGCTTTTTCAAATAAGAAAAGTGGTGGGAAAATGCCCTGGAAAGTGTAAGATAACATTTGCCCGATGCAACATCATGTATCCGTCTTGTAAAGTAATCAGAATGAACTATCAGTAGATAACAGACATAATCCAATCTCCCCACAAACAAATCAGGATGAATGCTGAACAAAGAGGTTTTCTGATAGTGATGTTTGGGCTTAAATCAACACTGTGAGAAGCCCATTGCAGCTGTTTTTGCCTTGGCTATACTGGTGTCTTCTGCTGTGAGTATAAAGTATGTGCAACAGACTAACTTCCTTGGATATGTAAGAGGTAGATACTGCCAAACTGTGCTTTCCATATCTCTAATTCTTTATTCCATTCCTCCAGCAATACCTATATATCAAATAGTTTGCTAATAACAAAGATTTATATATGTTACTTGCTGTTTTGTTGTTGTTGTTGTTGTTTAAGAATGAATCAACTGCTTCAACATCTCTGGGGTCTCTGAGGCTTTAAAAGTTCCTGGTCTGTAGATGGTGGTTAGCAAGTGTTTTATCTGGAGATACTGCCATTGATAATTTATAGGTAATCTATATTTGTCTCATAAGATGGAAGATATATAAAATTTATCCTCTTTGTTTATCAGCTGGTCTAACGTTAATATATCCAAATTCATCCACCTCTTCCATACAACCATTTATTTACTGATTTTTAAAGATGGGAACCCCTTTCTAAAGGTGAGACTCAGCTTACTTTCCCCATCACTTTGAATAAGGCTCCTTTAACATCCTTGTTCCTCAGGCTGTAAATGACAGGGTTCAGCATTGGGGAGAAAAAAGCATAGAAAACAGAAGCTTTCTTCTCCTGGTCTGCAGCTGTTCAGAACGGGGCTGCAAGTAAGTGAAGCTGATGGTGGTGTAGAACAATGTGACAACAGTGAGGTGGGTAGCACAAGTGGAGAAAGCTCGTTGCCGTCCCTCTGCTGAGTTTATGCTGAACACCACCCTGGCAATGTGGATGTAGGAGATCACTATAAAAGTGAAAGGCAACATGAGCACAATGACACTCAGGGCAAAGATGAGGACTCTTACTGTATAGGTGTCCATGCAAACCAGCTGCAACACAGCAGGCTCCTCACAAAAGAAATGGTTGATTTGGTTGGGCCCACAGAAGGGGAAATTTATGGTGATAACTGTCAGTGCTGCAGCATTGAAGAAGCCACCTAACCAACAGGCTCCTGCCATCTGGATACATACTTGCATCCTCATGATGGTTGGGTACCGCAGTGGTTGACATATGGCCACATAGCGATCATATGCCATGAGAGCCAGGATGAAGCACTCAGTCATCCCACAGAACAGCATCAGGATGAGCTGAGCCATGCATCTGTTGAAAGAGATATTATTGGTTCTGGAAGCCATATGGAATAGCATCTGGGGGAAAGTGACCTGTGTGCCGAATATATCTAAGAAAGAAAGGTTAGCAATGAAAAAGTACATTCCTGTATGGAGGCGGGAGTCAACCCAGATCAAGAAGATGATGAGGCTGTTGCCAAATAAAGTGATGAGATATATGACTAGGCACAGTGTCAATAGGATACGTTGCAATGTTGGGTGACTGGTGAAGCCAAGAAGAATGAATTCCTTCACAGAGGTTGCATTCTGAATCCACATATCACCCAAAAGACTCCACCTGTAATGATAAGTGTATGTATAACTGGTGTACTGCTTGAAATGCCATATCACAAACAATCACTTGAACATGTTGATGCCACCTAGCTTCAACATGACGTGGTATTGTTCACTGCCCATACAAGTTTGCCCTTTTTCTGCTCTGTTTGGAGTCAGCTTGTGTGTTCTACCCATCTCTGTTATTTCTCCTTGTCAAAACTGCTTTTTAAAAACAAACACACATTTTGTATTCTGTATTTCACACATTGTATTACACTTCTGGTAATATCTATTGTCTTTAACATATATTGTTTAATGTAGTAATTTAGAACATACAGTTTATTAATATGCAAACACCCATATGTGCATAATATCAAACAACTGAACTTAACCTTTTCTAACTACATAATCAACAGATTTGCCTTTAAAATTCTATTCATCTTAACAGTAAGGGTCATAGCTTTAAAATGAATAAGTATTCTTTTTACTGACATTGATTCATGAGTTTTCACATATCTCCCCCCCCTCCCCATGTTGTGGATAATTTCTTCATTTCTGTTGGCAATATTACTTTCTTAATGTCCAGATGTTTAAAGGAAAATTGGCATAACTTGCTTTTTAGAAATCTATCCTAGACCTTAGTAATCACAGCATCCTTTTCTAAGTATCTTATATTCTGTCCTGCATAAGATATGCACTGAAAATGTGGTTCTTGCTAACCCCTTTCCATTACTCACAAAGTGATAACCAACCTACTCCTTCACACATTACATGGGTATAGTAGGGAAGCTGATGTTTATGCATTATAATGAGCCTCATATAACTGAAATTCTTAAGTCTAGTTTTAATCTGCTTTTATTTGTTTTTAATTTGTTTGATGGTTCTCTATTGTAGGCTATCTTGAAAATCTAGATTAATAAAATTATGTTTTTTGAAAAGTCCAATTCATGCATAAAGAGGCTAAAATCATGGAGTAAGCTGTCATATTGAGCTTAGCTCACCTTGGGACAGACAAGTTAATCAAGACGATATCTGAGCTGGTTGCTGCAACACAAACCACATAGCTCTTACAGACCACTATTAAGTTCCAGAACCAATAATATAGGAACTTTCACCACTGTAACTAAGCCAAGTTTTACTGTCTGTGCAATTCTTTCTGAATGCTGTATGGAAAAGCACATGAATATCTCCTTTGGAGAGTTTATGAGTAAATCATTTTTAACTTACGAAAGGTGCAGTCTTTTTATTGTGGGGAAGAGGGGAACCTTGGAAGGAACTTAGAATGATATATTTTACAGATTTTATAGCCTATATATCTGTGCTTTACTTTGCTGCATGTTTTGTGATTTTTAATCTAGCTGGGATTCTGTCACCAAAGAGTACTTGCCCCAGGAAATGCTCTTTTATGCCTATCTTTTTCCTTGCCAACAATAGTTCTAACATCCATAAGCCTATTAGTAATAATTTACCTACTTTTTACATGAAACACATTCCAGCTGCAATCTGTTTCAGATGAGATAGATTGTTTACAAATGTAGAGCAGAATTGGAAGAAACAACTGTATATTCCCCAGGAATCTCTGGCTTTTAAAAAGTTTGGTGAGTGTGTGTGTGAAAACTGGAGCAGAAAATAGGAAGTTGGTGGATGACTGGACCATCTAGCATCTTCACAGGCATCAAAATGTTATTCACAAGGGTACATTTGATTGAAATATAAATCCATATCTGACTTAGCACAAACTCCTCATTTCCCTGAAGCATTTGAAACAACACAACTCCTTCAGTTCCAACCTTGTTAACTTTTCCATTCCCTAAGGACAATGAGCACAGAGATTCAATTAAGTTGAGTTTATTTCAAGAGTTTGTTTTCAGGGTATGCAAAGTAGAATCTGGCTCCAAGAACCAGAAAGTGGGAAAGAGAGCAGCACTAGGCTGGGTGAAGAAGCCCCATGCTGTGCAGGACTTTGTGATCTGGCTATCTTGACAATGATTTCTAGGTCAAGAGTTAGCTCTTCTTCTAAGGCTCTTCCATGCAACCAGTTTATTAAACATTATTGTGATTTTCACAAAGCTTCTTGGAGATATTATCTATTGAGGACTTCTGCTATCTGTTGAACATCCATTCTGATTTGTTTGCACAAATCACATCTCTTACACTCCCCAGGGCATTTTCCTATCACTTTCCTTAACAACAACAACCAAAATCCTATAAGACATGCTATGGCCTATAAATTCAACAGGAGAGTGGTTCATAGATCGAGGAGGGAAGTCTAGACTCCTTTGCTTTCCAAATACGTAGTGTAACTATTGATTCTGTTGCTGTGACTCAGTAACTGTAGCAGACAGCACTCACAGTTTACATAGGAAATCTAACCCACTGAGGGGATGTAATATTTATGTTTTATTTTGTTTTAAATATAGTGCAATACACCATGATAACCTTGTATACAGGGTGTTCATCAGTCAGAGATTTCCCTCTAAACTAAATGCCAGCTTTAGAAAAGGAGTGCAGCAGGGAGAAAAGGGTTCAATTCCACCTCACCATCTATTTCAGTCCTGATAATTTCCAGTTCCTTCCCATAGCTGACGGTATTTGCACATCTAAAAACCTTGCATGCTAAATGCAAACATACATTTAATCCCATGTCTAGTTTGTCCTTAGATGGCTCCTAACAAGACACATTCATTGAAAGTAAGTCCAGCAGCAGCTACCAGTCATCAGTGGTGCCTAGTCATGTTGACTCTGTGGAACCTCCAGTTTCAGAGACTGTGTAAAACACAGCTATTGGCTGTGTTTGAGCTTTCCACTCATCTTGTGGCCCAATGAGGGAAACAGGATGCTTGATTTCTTAGTCTGATCTAGCAGTGATCAGTAGACATCTATAGGATTGCACTGTAGCAGTGCTGGCCTGTGGTTAAGAGTCTCCAAGCAGGCACTGGTAGGATTAAATAAAAAGTGGTATATCTCTTTTTTATTACCGGAGAGGTAGCCAACATGTTTCTCTTCAGTTATTTTGCATTTTTGGTGCCATTTGCCCCAAACAACAATTTCACTTGTCTGAGATAATGGGGGTTATCTTCCACAATGTTTGAAAGCTGCCACATTGCCAACACCTTCCATAATTTGTTTTGAGTAAACTCTGTTCTGCCACACAACAGATTTATTTTAGCAATTCAATCTTATGTGTCTTTAGACATATAGAGCCTCATCCATAATGGTGCATAATCTGTTTTGAATACATACAACACAGAAATACATGCACACACACACACACACACACACACACACACACACTGAATAGGAGGACTGTACAAGAAATATGTGGAGTTTATATTCATAGCAAGCATTTCATGTCAGGTTTTTGCACAGTAACATAGAATACACAATTGAATGTAACTGGCATTTCAAAACATTTCAGTCAATTTTGTCAACAAGGAATGGTGCATAAGACATAAGAAACAAGTCAGAAACCAGCTGGTACTTTTCAGAAGTTGTGATTACTTTAATCCACAACAGACTCAGTGTGTGACTATGATATTCTAAAAGCAAGCATACATTTAAAAAATGAGTGTAGGTCTATAATCTGTGAATGTGTGTCTATCTATCACCTATCTATATCTATCCATCTATCAACTATCTACTATCATATATCTATCATCTATCTATCTATCTATCATCTATCTATCTATCTATCTATCATCTATCTATCTATTCTCCTCATATTTATGTATGTCTAATCATGCTTCTCCAGGCACTCTTTACATCCTTGTTGCGTAAAGTGTATATGATAGGATTTAAGAGTGGTGTCAAGACACTGTATATCACTGGAATAAGCCTGGCATAATTTGAGGAGTGACTGCTGTTTGAAGACAGGTAAGTGAAGATGGAGCTGCCATAGTACAAAAGGACTACAGTGAGGTGAGAGGAACAGGTGGAGAAAGCCTTTTGTCTCCCTTCCGAAGACCTTATTTTTAAGACAGTTGAAATGATGTAGGTATATGACAAAAGGATACAAAGTAATGGAGTCCAAGCTATGAAAAGGCCAATAGATAGCAAGAGGATTTGGTTAAGGGAAGTATCACCACATGATAGCTTCAGTAGTGGGGGAATATCACAGTAGAAAGCATCAAGGCAGTTCTTCCCACAAAACGGTAGTTGGAAAGCAAAAGTTGTATGCACAGCTGAGTTGAGGAAACCCCCAGTCCAGCAGGCCATGGCTAGTTGGAGACAAATTGTTTTGCCTATAATCAGTGTGTAGCGCAAAGGGTTGCATATGGCAACATAGCGGTCAAATGCCATCACTGCTAGAAGGAGGCACTCAGTGCCAACAAAGGAGAAGAAAAAATACACCTGGAGCACACAACCCATGTAGGAAATGTTGCTTCTCTCAGAGAGAAGGTGAGCCAACATCTGGGGTATTGTGGTGGTAGTGTAGCAAATGTCAAGAAAGGAGAGATTCCCAAGGAAGAAATACATGGGAGTTCTGAGCCTCTGATCCACCAATGTCATTACTACAATGAAGGTATTCCACAGCACAGTGAAAAGATAGATGATTAATAATGCACTGAAGGGAAAAATACGTTCCTCCTGCAGAAGTTTAAAACCTAGGATGATGAACTCAGACAGGCCAGTTTCATTTTGTGCCTCCATACCTTGGCAAATAAACAATTGAGTTTCTGTAGAGAAGAGGGAAATGAATTGTGATCATGTTAATAAATAGGTGTGACACTGGCATTATATTCAATATAAAGTGCAGAAGATGACAGAGGTATGATTCTGATGGATCTTTCTTTGAGAAGAGATAATACTTCTGTCTGCAGAATAACTCTGTGACATTTCCTGCAAGAGCACTGCGGATTTATCACTTCCAGAAGAAATCCTAGCATACCATAATCAGCTCTTATCTCTAAAGTACTAATATGGAAGGTGATCTATGTAGAGTGCCGTGAATCCAACTGATATTTTCAAATCCATATGGGTCCTTATCACCAAATACTAGCAAGAAGGCTATCAATCTGATATGTGTGGCGAACATTTTTATGGTTAGAGGAGTAAGACAGACTATTGAGAAATAACTGGCTGTTGCAAATATGGAACTCGTGCAATCCCTACGCTTTATCCTTTGAACATATTGAGCAGAAGTTTGAAAGGACTCTTTCTTAAAGCATAACTTTAAGTATACAAATCTATCTTACCTTGGGAACCCTGATCCAATATAATTTTCAGTATGATCTCCAGTTGTAATAGCCATGAAACATTCTCCATTAGATCATTCATCTTAGAAAACTGCATACACAGACCATTGCTAGCACATCTATGCTCTCTGGTTCCAAATCTCTAGCGCTGACACTAATTTTTGAAATGGTTTGTGAAGTTTCTGCTCTGCGAGACAGTGAACGGAAGCAAATTATGTTCCAGCAAAATAGCAGAACTTTGTCTGGATTGTTCCTCATATCTCAGTGCAAGAACCACAAGAAACAATACAGGAGGTTGTTAGTACAGATTTGTGGCAGATGTCACCTGCCTTTCAACTTTCTTGGGCATCCAGTTAGAAGTCAAGCTGAAGGACCCTTCACCTTCACTGATAGGACCCTTGATAAGATCTTGAATTGTGTTGTCACCATAGTTCATACAACACAATGTTTTGAAGCAAATCTGAAGAAACATCTGAGGAATTTCAAGGAACGAAATAGAATTTGATGAAGGCAAATATCACAGTAGTGAGGGTGGTTGAAGCTCTCCACAGCTGAAGTTCTCTTCCAGTTCCCAAGTCACTTCTTGAAGACTAAACCGAAAATAATAAATCACTGTGGCTGCTGATTCATCTCTTCTCTATCAACATCACCTAGTTTAAGATGCTGCCATTCTTGATGGTGCCATTTTCTTTCTAATGTTCTATAAAACAAGAAAATGACAGATATATTATAAATATGGATAAGCAACATATGGTCCAATGAAGTATTTCATCAGGTTGTATAGAAAAGTATGCTTTTGTTTCCTGTGTGGTTTTTCAACCTAGAAGGATTTCAACCTAGAGCAATTTTATTAATTTCAGTGAAGCACTGTTGCTTATATAGGCACAAATATGAAGGAGGCCTTTGAGGATTTTCTGCCCAAGAGAAATCCACCCTGTTTTCCAAAGAAAAAGCAGCAAATATTCTGATCGATTGTGAAAATTAATTGGCATGCCTTGAAATAGAACAGAATAATCTTTTAATAAATGTACCTGATGATTAAGATGAACTCAGCCTTCTTTGGCTGTGACTGAGGAAAGATGAAGAAGAGTTTGGATTTGATATCCCGCTTTATCACTTCCCGAAGGAGTCTCAAAGCAGGTAACATTCTCCTTTCCCTTCCTCCCCCACAACAAATACTGTAAATGAGTGGGGCTGAAAGACTTCAAAGAAGTGTGACTAGCCCAAGGCCACCCAGCAGCTGCATGTGGAGGAGCGGAGACGCGAACCTGGTTCACCAGACTACGAGTCTACCGCTCTTAACCACTATACCACACTGGCTCTCCAAATAGGAAAATAAAACAACCATATAAAATCAAGGAATTGGATGTAAAACTGGGTTTTTTATCAAATTATCCAGAAACATCTTCATACTAGACTAAGAACACAATCCTAATTTTGTCTAGTCAGAAGAATGTCTGGTTGAAATCAATAGGGCTTATTCCCAGGTAAGTGGGACTAGGTTTGCAGTCTTATTGAATTGACAACGTTTTTGTTATATTCCTGCTGCCACAGTGACCAAAACAGAGAGAAGAGAGGCCTTTGGTGGTGGTGGACACCTGGCTATTTATGATTGTCTCACCTTTCTCTCAGGGTTTTGTGACAGTCATCCTTTATTCATCAACATTATCCCCCCACTTCCCACAGACACATTTAAAAGGCTGGAGAATATTTATCAGCCAAAGACCTGGTTGAAGAGGAACATTTTTGACTGACATCTAAAAATGTATAATGAAGGTGCCAGGTGAACATTCCTGGGACGAGCATTTCACAAACAGGGAGTCACTACAGAAAAGGCCTGTTCTTTTGTTGCCGCCCTCCAGGCTTCATGTGGAGGAGGCATGTGAAGAAGGGCCTCAGATGATAAATGCAGAGTCCAGGACGGTTTATATGGGGAGAGGCGGTTCTTGACGTATTGCGGTCCTGAGCCGTTAAAGGCTTTATAGTCAAAAGCAGCACATTAAATTGGACCCGGAAGCTATTTGGCAGCCGTTGCAGTCAAGCCAGGTGTCAGGCTTAAGGGAATTGGCTTCCTCCCCCATGGTGGTAAATAAGAAGATCAAATGAAAGGAACGTCTTACCAGTTAGATTTTTTAATAATCACAGTGAGAGAGAAAAGGAACACAACTCCCTAGAAATGGTGGTGCTCCCAATTAAGGCTTACTCCCCCACCCTCCATCCCTATTAATTTACGTTACTCCTATGTCTTGTAATCTGATTTTGTACCCTCTGCACTTTCTATTTTAACACTTTCTGGTCTCTCTGTGTCTTTGGGGAAGGGAGGGCTGAATGCTGTCCAGAGACTAAATCTGTTAACCATCTATCTTCCACTGCTTCTTCTGCTGGCAGTCCCCCACCCAGTATTTCCCAGCTTCTGCCTTCTGAACTATTCCCCTCTGCAAACCACTGTTCCAAATCTGTACTATCCACCTGCTCCTGCAAAGATTCAGGATCACGGAGAGGGGGTGTCTCCCACCATTCTTCCTCAGTGCAGCCCTCCTCAGCACGGTCCCTGACACCAGGATTGGTGTAATATGCCCCAACTGTCTTGTCCTGGTGAGCAACCTGGCCTCTGAATTCTGTACCAGCTGAAGCGTGTGGTTCGAGGACCCGTACCCCTTGCAGTGGAATGAAACACAAGGACACGTGATATAAGGTTAATGGGCAAGAAAAGGCCACAACTTTATTGATTACAGCAAGTGAAAAGGTATATTTCGCGACGGGACAACGAAAAGTGAAGGCTGGAGGCTGGTGCCACAGCAATTTAGGCTGCTATACACGCCCCCCCTTGAAGGCACCTGGTTGGGTGCCTGGCCGAGGGCATGGGCACCAGCCAGGTGAGTGGGAGGCAGGGGGCAAACGCCCCCTACTTGAGGCGGAGTCTGGCTCCCGGCCACAACCACTCCCCTCTCTTGCAGGGCGGAGATTCTTTCTGAATTGTCTTCAAAGACAGCCATACATATAATGTGTTGCAGTAATCCAACCTAGAGGATACCAGAGTATGGACAACAGAAGTCAGGCTACCCCTGTTCAGATAGGGACATAGCTGGGCCACCAGCCGAAGCTGATGGAAGATGCTCCATGCCACCAAGGACACCTGAGCCTCAAGTGATAGCAGAGCATTTATGAGTACCCCCAAACTACATACCTGCTCCTTCAGAGGACATGTACAACTTGCTTAGAATTGGCTAAGCTTAAAAAAAAAAGAATTGGCTAAGCTTTTCTTCTTTTTTAGTGTTCTATCTGAAATAATTGCTATAAGTAGTAGTATATTTATCATTTGAGTTCATTGAAATGATGAATAAATGCAAAACACTTGATCCTTGAAAGAGCAGCAAGTTAAAGCAATACTATAGACCAGGGATAGGAAATTTCATATCTGGTGACTCAAGCACACACAACCTAATGATGACAAACAGCTGGTAGTTTATTTCTTTATTGACAAAGCATAGTAGCTCCTGAGGTGCACTAAACACACACACACACACACATTCCTGGTGGGTAGGCAGCTGGCACCCCTGCTGGAGCAATGTGTGGCCACGCACAAAAGCAAACCTTAGTACATGTATCTAACAGTGCAAGTGCAAGCACCCTGTGACTTCTTCTCAATAGAAGCTGTCGCTGTGCTTACCTGTTCAAATCCTTCCTGTTCCTGGAAGACAGAAGGACTGCCCTGCCTGGAGTTCCTCTCCATTAGCATTGCTTCATCTGATACTGGGAGAGGACCGCTGGACCGGGCCACACTAGAGGTGCCTGTCAGGGGCAACTGCTTCATGGCCCCTTCAAAAATCTGCACCCAGAGTCTATCAGGACATTCCTCGGGGTGTAGGCCCATACAACACTTTGACCCACATCCGTAGATGTGAGCACGTGTTAGCAGAAGGTAAACGGCATTTCCATGCACTGCTCTGGTTTCGCCAGAAGCAGCTTAGTCATGCTGGCCCACATGACCCGAAAAAACTGTCTGCAGACAAACGTCAGCTCTCTTGGCCAGTAAAGTGAGACGAGCGCCACAACCCCAGAGCCACAACCCCAGAGTCGTCCATGACTGGACTCAATTGTCAGGAGTCCTTTAGCTTTTACCTTTACTTGTCCCTAGCTACTTATGTTCTCCTTTAATGTTTAAATATTTAGAGAAATAACTGAGCCCTCCAAGACCTTGTGCATTTTTCTCTGCACCAAAATAGGGACTTTTGTCTTGGAGGAAAGAGGGCTGACTGGAAGGGTCAGGGGAGAAATAGCAGAGGCGGGGCAAATCCTATTTTGTGTCAGGGACAGATTGAAGTGGGTTGCAATTGACTCATAGTGGAACCAGACTATTTCAATACACTTGAGAGGAATGCATAAATACTGAAGGATGGGGAAATGTAAACATAGTATAAATGAATATATAATGAAGTCATCACAATAATTTCC